ACAGACTACTACTCTCACGTGCATTCACATATCCGCAAAAATAAATCTATGCACATAAATGCATGCACGGACATATTGAGGAACACACATTGAAACACACAGAGACTAAAGAACAATAAATATGATTTGCTACTTTTCTTGTGAAAAGCCGATTACATAACACAATCACCCTATATGGCAGATATTTTGACTTCATGTTTTCTTAATATAACCATCTATGCTTTAGGATGAGATACCTTGAGTGCTTTGAAAAATAAAAGAGGGATATATCTTTGTCGCATCATTACTACTTCGGTACTTAATGGTGCTGAAACTATTATAATAAAATCTGTGCAGTACACAGGGTGATAGATAGTTTAAATAACTTTTCCATTTTAACAAAGGCTTTTGAATCTAGTTTGTTAATCATTCAGTATATACCCAAATATCTGAATTTCTCTCTCCTGTACGGGTTAAGCACGTTCCTAATAATTCATATATGTAGTTTTTTCACTCTATACAATCTCTGACTCCTTCATAAAATTTCTGTGAAAAAATAAAATGGAAATAACTATAACGAAATACCATAACTTAATCTGCCACATGACCTCTTTTGTTACATATAACTTTTCCCTTTCCAAAATCCACTGAGTCTTCTCACACACTTCTGCCTTTGGCCAATGGGATGTATCTCAAAACATTGGCAATATCATAAATATCTGCAGTGTTTACAAAAGCCAGGAATCTGCTGCATGACGAAAAAATAAAATGGAAATAACTATAACGAAATACCATAACTTAATCTGCCACATGACCTCTTTTGTTACATATAATTTTCCAAACTGTGCCTGTGCTGTAGTATAAGGGAAAGTGATCACACATTCCAACTTTACTCTTAAACCTTCTGGATACTTGCATCATAGGTCAGAGAAGAACACACAAAATAATACAAATACTTAATTTTACAATCAAACCTCTTCTTTGGTTAGGGCTCTTTCCTCCTCCAATCAATGCTATATTTATCATATACAAAATACTGAATGCAATCTCTTCCACTTTTCATGTTTCATTCTTTGGTAATAAATTAAATACCCAATTATCACGCTGGCATTTTCAGTTATACTAGTTTCCTGATATCCTTGACAACAATGGAATAAATCTTGTGTAAACCCATTGGCATTGGGTACATGTACTGTCCATTTTGGCTTTATTTCATTGATTTTCTTTACATGTAGATGGCTTCACAAGCAATTCATCATTTAGGAATGAATCATACCAGGCTTACCTGATGTGACCATACTCCTTCGAGAAAAAAAAAAACATTATTCATGATATTCTCATGATCATTACTGATATTATTATTGTATAATAAAGACTGATTGTTAATAGTAATTAAAAATAACTTCCTTTTTTTTAAATTTCAAGGAATGGTATAAATCACAGTTGGTCCCAAATCCAAGTGGATAATGGGCACATGTTCAAGGAGGAATAAGTATCTAAGCTACAGAATTACGCGTCAGGATGGCCAGTTCCTTATGTAGGTAGGGTCAAGTAGGCCTCTCGACTCATTTCTTGGACATTGTGTTTCTGGAGCTATCAATGTGTAGATAAAACAGATAAATCAAAATCAGTGGGTATTGCATGTATATATGCACTACCAGCATAAAAAAAATTAGGAAAAGAGCAAAAAAAGTCTGGTAAGTAATTACATTAGTGCCAGATAATTGCAGTGTCTATTGTATTTGTCTTTTGTGAATTTTGTTTATACATAAATGGTTCTACAAGTGCTTGTTACCAAGGAGCCAATTATTTGGCTTACCGAATATCCCCATTCCTTGATTTTAATTTTTTTTTAAATTAATATCATTACTGCTATCATTAATCATTGAGATCACTATAAACTAATGTTATTATCAATACTAACAGTAATTAGATAGATAAATAAAAAATCCAAAAATCAGGTGAGAATCCTTGGTGAGTAACTCTTGCAAAGCTATCTCTGCGAAAGCAAGATTAGTAAACTAAAATCATGGTGAGCATGACATGCATTTTTTTTCTATCCCGGCAGCAGCAGGTTCAAGAATCTATAATATCTTAATAGGTCTATATAAAACACAATGAGCACATTAAAAACCTGCCTTGGTTGAATTACATATTCAATTTACAGATATCTTTAGGAATAAATCTTGAACGTAAATTAGGCATGTACTACATATTGCAATTAGATATATAATCATCTAACCTAAAAATAATAATAATAATAATAAATAAATAAATAATTAGTTTGATAAAGACAGGTGCATTGACCAGTCTCATGAGGTGTCATCTCAGCCAAAAGGACATCATCCGGTCTCTGAGTGTTAATTAATCTGTCCATAGGAAACCAGGTTCATGACATTATATATCAATTGATGAAATTCCTGAAAGGACATAAAGACAGGTGCATTGACCAGTCTCATGAGGTGTCATCTCAGCCAAAAGGACATCATCCGGTCTCTGAGTGTTAATTAATCTGTTCATACCTGGATATCTATTTAGGAAATCTAAAGAAAATGAGTTTTAATGCCATACCAATGCTAAGGTTATCCTCTTTTCACATTTAGATTCCTCTACTATAACCCAGGTCTTAAATATCATAGCTTCACCTATGGTAGGCTTCACCTCATTTCAAGTCGGTCTATATTAGCTAGCATATTAGTCATGTGATAGCAAAATCCAGACCAATCCAAGGATACCTACAGTTCAATGTCTTGCTTTATAAGCCCAGTGTGATAAACCTTAAGAATATCAAACATATAAAAATTACATATATAGACTCACCTTCATCTCCTTTGCCCATGCCAACGAGAGCTATATGGCTAGGAGAGAGTTCCAAAATTTTTGTGATTTTCGATGGTATAACTGAGGTTTCTGTTGCATGTTTTTTCCCTGGTAGCTTCTCCAAAGAATCATTCCGCAGGTCAAAACTGTACATATCTCCATTGGACCCTGTTGGTGAATGCAGTTCATGAAATATCAATTTGCTTATCATCAATGAAAATTTTGTGTTTAAAGTGCATCAAAAGTAAGCATTTACTCTGTAAGGTAACAAAAACTGTTAACAAATAACATACAACATATCAACACAATAATACAAGTGGCACTATAAGACACGAACGTGTCTGTCATAGTGCCATTAACCAAAATGAAGATTGACTTTAAGGGCCTTCAAAAAGGGGATTCTTAATTAGTTACTTTGTCTGGGCATAAAATAATACATCATATCAGTGATAAATCTAAGAATCTCCCTTTTTTCAAAACACCTATGTAGAAGAAAAAAAAAAAGATGTATTTCACAAGATCCAACTAGAAAACTGGAAAAAAAATGGATAGCATTGAACTAAATTTCATGCCAGGCCTACTAACATGGAATACATCATGGAATAAAAATAGCTAAGAAACTACATAATATTACAGTAACATTTCAGAATCTCTAATGCCATGATACCCTATCCTTCCCTCAATAATAACTAGTAATAACACCAACAACAACTAATAATATTCAGAAAGCAAAAACAAAAAACAGAAAAAAACTCCAGACATACATAACGTGATTAGTATGGACGAGGAGAGGGCACACAGGCCAGTGAGTGTACAATCTGCCACAGCCAAGTCATATCCTCGGGGCGACCTTCCTCCACTCTGGTTCAGCTGCAGTTCGTACAGTTTTGTGCAAGATGCCTGCTGTGTGAGGAAAAAGACATAGGTAATAATTTTCATAAGCAATGAAAATTAGATGATCTCACAGATATATGCTAATATATCTTTAAGTATATCCTTCTCCTTTTACTTGGAAAGACTGTCTAATTATTTGTCACCTGGCCAGACAAAAATAATAACAATGTAAAAAATACTAATGATAAAAACAGATATAGAAAATATTATCAATAATAAAATATCAATAATGACAATAAGAATAAGAAACATCATCCTTAAATCATAATAATAATAAAGTACTACTACTACTAATAATAATAATAACAATAACAATAACAGCAATAATAATAATAATAATAATAATAATAATTAATAATAATAATAATGATAATAATAATTTTAATAACAATAACAACAATAACAATAGTAACATTAATACAACTATTACAAATAATCTTAACCACTTCCTGCTGGGTGGCATGTACTACATCCCATGGCTGTTGTGGACAAAGTAGCGGGACTGAGCTTGCTTTTCTCTGATAGTAGCAGCTTCATTCTATGGTAAAACTTTTTGGCAATAGCACCTTAAGTGAAAGTAAATCTCCAAAAACTTGATATCATTAAAAACTCCTTTGAAATACAAGATTTTAAGTGTTTAATGTTACCCTCAAACTACTGAACGAGCCAAGCGCAAACAGGAAACTGTCGATGTGCACTAATAAACTTGCAATTATGTCCACTTGTCAAATTTTTTACCCAGCATAATTGGGTTAATAGTAATGAGATTATGAATAACAACAACAATATCAATAATAATAATAATAATAATAATAATAATAAAAACAATAATCTTATCTCTCACACTTCCACCAACCTCTCTCTTTTTGGTAGCAATCAGGGCTGTGTTGGTGCTCTCAATGATCTGCACGTAGGTGATAGTCTCATCCTCCTGCAAGAACCCTTGCTTGCTCTCACGCCTTGTACTGATAGCTGACTGGAGCTCTTCAATTTCGCCATTGGTGAAGACAGTGTATACCTTGTCTGCACTTACGAGGAGTTGATGGATTGGGGCTTCAAACTGAAGTGGAGAGTGAGTGATTAGTGCTCTTATATGATTCTTTAAAAATAACATTATCATAATATATAGATTATCTGGGAGAAAACATGTCCTGTCCTGCTATATGTCTGTCCCCATAGTAACCCTCTACTATCCTCAATTTTTTTCTTTTCAAAACTAATTCCTTCATCTCTGCAACATTTATTACAAACAACAACTGTTAATGACTTAATCCCATTATATATCTAATAACAATGAATATATACACTTCAAAAACATTCCTTAACCCACCTAACAAGACAGACTAACAAAAATCTTACATTATAACGCTTGACATTATCGATGTCATCCTCTTCACGACTCCACTGGGAAATGGAATTTCCATTGATGACTACTGCAAGGTTGTTTGTTGTAGGAACAGTTACAGCACCAGATGTGAAAGGATGCCAGCTCTTTGTGGACCAGCTTCTCACCTGTCTGCGGTCAAGAACCTGAAATAGTTTAGGCATAAAGTTGGAATCATTCACGATCATTATCACTGATCACAAAAAAATTATCTCACAAGTACGTAGCAATACATGAACTACTTGACGTATCCCTGTAATGAGTTATAAAATGTAGTATATATCTTTAGAATGAAAACAAGAACAACTTAGAAAAAAAAGGGGTTTCTCTTCTCTTTTTTCTTACATATAGCACCTTTGGGAGGCATTTTCACTAATGTTGCCATAGAAGAACTATGCCTTGGTTTGTATCTTTCTATCATTGCATACTGGTCTGATTACCACACTCCATCACTACCTCTAAATATTGTACCATTAACTAATATATATCTTGCATGATCAGTGTACAATCCATACTCAATTCAATTCAGCAATCCTACATGCCTCTTCATGATACGATACGCAGCTCTGAGTTTCCTCAAATAGTGGAAATGCATGACACCCCAAACAATAAGCAATGTGACACAGTCCTTGTTGACAATTTGTCTGTTGATTTCAAGTTCATTTTAGTGGCCTAACTGAAAACTAAACATGGGAATTTGATCACAAAACAGACTGCGACTATTTTGGTATAGTTGGATTCGTCTTACCACTTACAATGCAAATATGTAGGTTTTATTGTGCAGAAGCCCCTTAACACCCCACATTCTTGGCCCTGATAGCAGGGGAGAACATGTAAGGTACCAGGGGAAACTGGGGTAAAATGTATATGGTATACACAGATTCAGTTACTATATCAATTAATGCATGGGGTTTTTAATCTTTAATACAACCCACACCCAGGAAAACAAAGAAACCTCCATGTATTCACACCAGGAGAGTTAGAACGATGCTCCTGCATGACAGACGTACACTCTCTCCTGCCGTGAATATGTAGAGGATTCTTTGTAGGCAAGGTTTATGGAAACGGATCCATTTCTACATGATTTCTTTCTTGGAGGCACAGATCTGGTTCCTGAATCTAACCTAACCTAACTTCACCAACCTAACCTAACCTTAATTAATCAATTCAGGTTATCTTGGGCAGTACTCAGATGAGTTTGACAACCTCAATCTCAATTCAATGTGTTCCCGTTGTCTGCAGAGAAACAGATAATTTTCGGGCTAAAGGTCCTATCACACTAGCACTTTTTCCAACAGTTATCTGTCTCTGCAGAAAGATTTTCTGCAGATAGAGAAACAGATAATTTTCGGGCTAAAGGTCCTATCACACTAGCACTTTTTCCATCATTTTTTTGTGTTTCCGAAAGAACTCCATATGAAAATCTTGTAAACAAATATGGCACAATTGGAGTGAGGTCCCAGGAATCACACGAACATTCTCATACGTATTACATTATTTTAAAGATATACGATGATGTATAGTGTATATACGAATGTTCTAAAGTATCAGCATATGTTTACATTCACTCATCCTATCTAGTTTATCAATAGCACAAGATCAACACAGAAATTAGTCAGACGGAAATGCAACCGTTTTGGCCTCAGAAGCGTTCCATTTGTAGACATTCCTTGCGGAAAGCCTCAAATTCAGACGGAACCCCAGAAATTGACGGAAAAAGTGTTAGTGTGATAGGGCCTTAAGCGACACAAATATTTTGGTTTCTATAACCACTTCATTCTTTGTATTCTTGGGTGGGTGTTGAGGGGGTCACAGGGATCACAGCATATTTACATTTTACCCCACAATTTCTCTGGTACCTTGGCCCTTCCCTGCTATCAGGGCCAAGAATGTGAGAGTTTGAGAGGGTTTCCGCACAATAATTTCTGTATTTGGAAACTAGACAGTGGGAGGAATCCAGTGACACCAAAATCATTTCAGTCCATTGTGCAGACATATAAATAATAATTTCCATTAAACGTATCTCACTGGCTTACTACCACAGACTGGTGGCTGTAGGCCTGTCAGACCTTGCGTTAGCAAAAATACACATATGCAGATAATTATAAAAAGCTATATAAATAAATATTATGATATGTAGAGGCAGTATAACATTAATAAATGATGTTAAAAGAATAACTGTGGAACAGCTGATAATGGTAATGAGTAAAATATCATTTTGACAATATAACACATGAACTACTTGGCATATCGCAGTACTGAGTTCTGCAATCAGTGTAGTGTTTTTGTTAGCAATGTAAACAAGATGACCAACTTCATCTCTGAACAGATATATGCACGGGCTATTTTCGTTATTTAGCGATGAATATGAGGCAAACTGCCGCTGCACCTATGTTGTTTCTGATTTTTTTTCTTAAGCTCTA